GGGGAATAGGAGATGGAAGGGATGAGGAGGAAACCGACTAGGAAGGGAGGGGAGAACATACCTGCGGCGGCCGGTGGATGGAGTTGCAGCGCCAGGAGTGTGGCAGCGCCCGAGTGTGAAAGAAACGGGAATGGGAAGGGTGAGATTGTGAGAAGAAGGAATGGGAATGGGAATGGGAATAAGGAACTGGAAATAAATCTCTAAACTATCTACTCTTAATTAATGAAGTAGCAGTTAGACAAACACTGCAACTTTCGATGTTGAGCCGGGGTCTCTTTGGAAACAGCCTCTCTACTTTCGAGTAGGGGCAAGGTCTGCGTATACACACTCTCCCCAGACCCTACTCTTGTGGGATTTAACTGGTTTGTTGTTGTGGGGAATGATAAAAGCCTGAAACAAAACCAGGGAATCCAAAAGCTAAGGAGAGGGAATGCATGAGAGTGTATAATAGTTAAAAATTTGAGTAAATTACATAAAACATGATCAGTTATAGTTCGTTTTATATATTTAGTCCCTACATATTAAATATACATAATTTAGTTCCCGATTATTAGATTATTTTCTACAAATGGTCTTTTGTTAACATTTCCGTTAAAAACATGGATAAAATTGTAAATTCACGCTCCTCTCTCTCCTCAATTAAGCTTCGATCATCTCCCTTCTCGCACTCCTTTCCCAAACACGTTGTTGAGTTTGAAGCTTTGAACCCAAATCCGCAATCATCCCTCTTCTCTCAATTGTTCATCTTCCTGGTGGAATCCAAAATCGAAACCAGTAACCTTCATTAATTAGTTTTAAGGTTTGTTTTCTTTTCAATTTCCTGATACTAACCCATAAAATTTATCCACGAAAGTCATTGATTTTGATTTTGAGTTCCACCAGGAAGATGAACAATTGAGATAGGAGTGATCGCTTCGGTTTTGGGTTTAGAGCTTCAAAATCAGCGATAGGTTTGGGAATGAGTAGGAGATGAGGGAAGAAGCTTAATTGAAAAAAGAGAGAGGAGTGTGAATATAAAATTTTATTCATGTTCTTAACGGAAATTTTAACAAAGGATTATTTGTGGAAAACAATATAATAATTGGGGATGAATTATTGATATTTCATATGTAGGGACTAAATATGTAAAACGACCTATAACTGGGGACCTTTTATGGAATTTACTCTAAAGATTTTAATCATTGACTTTTTGATATTCAATAAAGGGAAGAGAGAATATCATCATTAAAATATCAAATCATTAGGAAATATGAATATTATGCTACAAAATATACATCCGTCCCATAGTAATTCTTACAGTTTGACTCTTTCGAGTCAAACTAGATAAACTTTAATAATCAACTACATACTCTCAGTTTATATTGCATACGAAAATAATGTAGTAAAGTTTTGAAAGTTCTAACCAAGTTAAATATATTAAAATCATTTGTATACTAATATAGATTATAGCTTTTACTTAATTAAGGCTCAAAGCTCGTCTAGTTTGACTAAAAATCATCAAACTCGACAAATATTTTTGGGCAGATGCTGCTTTTTGATTACTAGACATGTTTCTCAAATCTCAATTACTCCTTCCTGGATTATCTTACAAGTTGATAAATGATAAGCCTAATAGGCTGAAATAATAATAATAATAATAATAATAATAATAATAATAATAATAATAATAATAATAATAATAATCATCATCATAATCATAATCATAATCAGGAAACAATCACATGAATACTTCAATAAGTTTGTGATTTTATGATAATACCCAGAAACTAAATAATTTACACCATTGCTCTAGAAATTACTCAATTTTACACTAATACTCCAAGCTGCCAACGAAGCTGAATATGTGGCATTTTAAATGGCAACTAGACAATTATTCAGTATGAGTTGGTGATCAATTATAAAAATACAAAAAATATCTTGAATGCATTATAATTACCTATCTCCATGTCGATTTGAAATAAAAATATGTTAAGGCTGAAAAATAAAGTGTTTATATTTTAATCGGATAAATTATACTCGCATATGAACAGTGTTTTAGATAATAAAATAATTAGAGGATTTTAAAGTTGATATAGTCCCGAATACATATTTTCAAAATCTTTCCAACGAATATAAATTTTATTATGAAATATGTACATTAAAATCTTTATTTTGTTTGAAACTTTATTTTCTTTTATTTTTATCACTCCGTAGTGACCAATACATACTTAATAGTTTATAGTCATTATTTAAAATGTCATGTATTCTGCATGCTTAGTTGACAGCCTAGAGTATTGGTATTAAATCAAACAATTACTGGTTGGGGCGGTGCAAATTATTCAATTCTGGAGTATTAACGTAAAGTCACAAATTTTTTAGAGTATTCATGTGAACTTTCCCTAATAATAATAATAATAATAATAATAATAATTTAGTTTGAGGTCGAAAAATAAGTTGAACGGAATGTAGCCTTAGGCATGTTTTTAACCTAATTTGAATGGTTCTGGTTAGGGATGGAAACGGGTCATGTTCGCATCGAATTGTACTATACCCGAACCCGACCTGACTTTTGAACCCGAAACCCGAACCTGACTTGAAGCCCGACTTTTAAACCAAAAACCCGACCCAAACTTGACATTTAAACCCTAAACACGAACCCTAACCCAACCTTGAATCTATAATTTAACCAATAACCAATTCGACGTAGCCCAAGAATTTTAAAAAGAATACGTCTAAATTCTTTTGTCTCTTTTTTGGGTGTCTCATTTTGTGATTGAGGAATTATTAAAAATTATAAAAGGGACACTTGGTATAATAGCACCTTCTCAAGATGATTATGTGGCTAGAAACACGAACAAGACAATAGACACACCAGAGATGCAGGGAAGAAATCACCATACAATGAGAATGGAAAACACACAGAGATGCAATCTAAAGACCAAGAGAGAGATGCAGTTGTGCCAGAAAATTGAAAAAAAATTATACTAATAGGGATTTAGCTTATAAAATATTCGGGTTTAGGTCAGGTAAAATTATACATGCACACCCGATCCAACCCGATGTCATGTTCGGGTAAAAACTTTTGGGTCGAGTTTGAATTATTTTATTCTCGGTTCGGGTTTGTATATTTTAGTGTTCGATCAGGTCGTTTATGATCAGATTTGGTTTGAATTGACATCCCTAGTTCTGATCTGGTTGGAATAAGTTCCCCTCTCCTGATCTAGATGTTTCTGATCTGGTTTGATCTGATCTAAATGTAGTTATATTTAAAACTGATTCCGACCTCATTAGAATTGATTCTAATAAAAAAAAGTAATAAGTAATAAGAATAAGTTGAGGAGAACACGACATAACAATATGTTTCCTAATATGTTTGGTTTAAGAAATTTAAAATGAAAAGGAAAAAAATGAGAGGGAAGGTAATTTTTCTTGTTAGGTTAGAGAGAAAAAGAAAAAAAGTGGAACGAAAAGAAAATTGGAAGGGAAAAATGAGAAGACAAAATGTATTAGGAGGAGAAAAAATTAAATTCCTTCCATTTTGACTCAAAATAATCAATGAGAAGAAAATTTCCAGACAGAAGGAGTAATAATTATCCAAGCTTCAATGTAGGGAAAACTCTTGAAATATTTGCATAAATAGAACTAAAAATTAAGTCATGTCTCTAAATAGCACTTATATTGTTTTATTTCCTAAATAGTACTTAATTATGTCCATAATGACCAGTGATGACAAATATTTACTTGAATAATGACTAATAGATAATGACTAAAAGTGCTACATTAAGAAAAAATACATCTAATGCTATTTAGGGAAAATCATTATGTTTTAGTGCTATTTACGTAAATTTCTCAAAATTCTGATGTCGTCCTAAGGTCCGCACGCATTTTATGGACTTTTGTACATAATAATAAAAAATGAGTTGGGCTCTTTGCAAAAGATAACATACTCACGTTTATAAGTCGATGAAAAGTGTTAGGAGTTCCACATTATATCTTTCTAAATTATATAAATGGGAGGGAGGGTTAGATACCCTTTAAAAAGATGCACTTTATCCTTCCATATATTTTATACCCCATGCTTAGAAAGTTGTACCTTTATTTTTCAGCAAAAAATGTCCTCTCTCATTTAACTCCCATCAATTTTTTTTTTTTTTTTTGAAAGCAACTCCCATCAATTTTATGTTACACTAAGAATAGTTGAGCTTTTAGGGAAGACTTGGTTAAGAAGTTGTTGAGTAGTTAGAGGTAGTTAGAAGATATTTTCCAAAATATCCCCCCTTTAAATACCCCAAGATACATTGTACATTGACATTCAGTAATGAAATGACTCCTTGTTAGAATAAGTGTCCTTCACTAGAGGGGAGTGAATAGTAAGGTATGAAAATGTTTATGATTTTTTGCTAAAATAAAATTTGCAGGGATAAAGTAAAGAGCGAAATTAAAAAACGCAAGGAAAGAACACACCGATATACACTAGTTCACCATAACGTGTGGCTACGTCGTCTCCCAGGAGACTCTATCGAGCTACACTACTTCCGTTAAGCTTACGGGTGCTTAACAAACCGTTACAACTTGAGAACTCGAGTCCGGCGAGCCTCAATACATTTGCTCGGAGATACCGCACTCCAAGACTTTAACCCAAAGGAATATGCCCTTCCTTCGTACAACCAAGGGAACAAACCTACCTTAAAGTGTTCACAATACTTAACCACTCAAGAATAAAAACTTTCTTAAAGAGTAGAATATGAGTAACTAATTTAGATAAAAAAAACACTCAATTTCTCAAGAAATGGCTCTAAGAAGCTATGTAAAAAGTTTATGAAATGATGCAATGTGAAGCTTTGAAATGTGTGAGGAATGGTTGTGAAAAGTAGACCCAAAAGACCGCTATTTATACCCAAAAATGGTGTGTAACGGATGAGAGTTTATTAAGGTTTAATGACATGGTTTGTGGAAATCAAATCAAAATTGGTCTACAGAATTTTGGCCTAACATCGATGTTCACTGCTTCGACTTTCCTCTAAAAATGGCTAACGGTGTGCCTACCCATATGTAGGCCTTGTAATTTGTAAAATTAGGAGAATATCTATGATCTGCGTTAACATATTTGATGCCATTCTTTACCCTTTTTATTTTTGGCATTGTGTCAATAGGTTGTTATATCATATGGTATAATGCCTTACATTGGATGGTGTAATACTCTATGAGTCATGTGCATCTGTGTGTGTGAGAGTTTTAAAGCTCAAAATGAATTTTAGATGAGGTGAAGGCAAGAAGATGGGACTTAATGAGAGATTCATGGAAATTTTATTAATGAAGACATCACAGCCATTATATTAATCAAGGGGAAACAAACCCCATTGAACAAGAAAGAAGCAACTTAATGAGAAGAATAAAATAACATGGGAGACCACAATCTGCGTGTCCCAAATGGACGCCAAATCAAGTCCGGCGAAGAATCATGATGATCAAAGTCTTAAAACTCAAAAACAACGTGGTGCACTTTCTCCCCTTCCCCAGGCAAACCCCCCAGGTTCAAAGTCACGAGTCCCGGCCCCGATTCGTATTCGAACTCCCTCACGTTTCCCCCAACCGTGCACCCCCTTGGCTGGGCAGACGAGTACGCGCCGAACCGACCGCACCCCTTCACCCCCAATGCCACTCCCCCCTTCCCCCCCTCCGCCCCGTACTTCAGCTCCTCAACCGCTCCCCCGGCGTTGAACATGTCGATGAGCCCCAGGGGTGCGAATCTGACCCCTGGGGCCAAGTCCTTGACCGGCGCCACGGTGAAGACCTCGTGCTCCAGCACCTTCAATGACACCGGCAGGGTTTCGTTGTCTGCGAGGACCACGAGCCCGCCCCTTGCCTGAGAGTAAACCGCGCAGTCTCCGTTCCATCCGGGGGGGCCCGTAGCCGCTGCCGCTTCGGAGATGAGGTGGACGTCTCGGCCTTTAACATGACCCGTAACCGCCTCGGATTTTGTTTCGTGGAACATGGTTATCTTCTCCACGGCATTCCAAGCTGCGCCTTGGCAGTTGTACACGCCCAGAACTCCTGTGTGCTTGTTCATGTTCCAGATCTTCAATAAGCTGAAACATCAAATGGACTTATAGTGTTAATTTTGAGAATTGCCAACAAAAAAAAGAAGATGAAACCCACTTTTTTAACTTGGGGTTTTGTATTCAAATAGGCAGAACAACAATCCAGTTCAATCCAACCCAGAGTGGGGCCTGGAGAAGATATATGTGTAAGCAGACCTTACCCATACTCGAAAGTAGTGAAACTGTTTTCACGAGATACCCGGCTAGTAACACAGATAACACAAACTCGCAAAAGACACACAACGCAGAGAAAGCGTAGAAAACAAAACAAAGCAATACCTAATGCCATCGCGAGTAGGATCGGAGAAAAGGCAGTCCTTTGTGGGGCGGCCAGGCAAACGAGCCCTGAGGACCGAACCATCAGGGAGGACGAGCTTCTTCAAGAGATCAAAGTCGTGTTTCCCGGGTGCATCACTGACATAGACAGGGCCACCACTGATTGCCCGTGCCGAGCCATGGTACTCGGCGGCCGGGTGGAGGGAGTGGAACATGTCCCAATCCGGAACCATGAATTCGCCGAGGAAAACCCCGTTGTATGCCACTGCCGCAATGTGGATGGTGTGCGACATCGGGTCGCGTGGGAAGAAATCATCCGATGCCCTCACAACAGCCACCTCTTTCTCACTGTTCCACGACAATTTCAAATCATCGGCAAATATATATAAATCATCAATTTTACGAACGGAGAAACGTAATGTAGGTACACCAATAAGTTATAACCCTGAAAAAACAGGATGAGCATACCAATAGAGAGCATCAGTGTTGTGGCTCATGCAAGCAATGACCCCATTATCTGGGAAGTTCTTAGAGACAGAAGCATCAAGAGCTTGATGAAACTGCTTTGTGATCTCCACCCTACCCCCAACCCCATCCCCCACCGTCTCCAGTATGCACTGCACGTCCACCTTCACCCCGTCCACCCCCGCCGACGCCAAGTAGCTGTGCATCTCGTCGTAGAACTTGCGGGCCCTCTTCGGGTCGACCACCCCGACGCCCTGAACCGCCATTTCGTCCGTTTTCCAGGTCAGTTCGTGCTCCATCACCCCCTCCGAGACCTTCGGGTACTTGAGAACCGACCCGTATTCATCCATCCCCTTCTCTCCCGGCCGGACCCCGCCCCAGTACCCGGTGATCGCGTGCCACACGTACACGTATTTCAGGCCGTGCTTTTGCTTGGCGACGTCGACGATCCTCCGGATCCCGATGTTGTCCGGGTCGGGCTGTTGGAATTTCGGGTTCTCTTTTATTCCGGTGAGTCTGAATATGGGTTTCTCCTCCGACTCGTCGCCGGCGACCGTCTGCCAGCCGTCGTCGATTATCAGGAATTTCGGGGGGGTGGGACTGGAACAGAGGGTCTCGAGGCCGGCCTCCACGCCCTCTTGGGTTACCTCCTTGTAGAAGGCGTCCCAGGTGCACCACCCGAAGTAATCGACGATTCCGGGGAGCCTCTTCTCGTGCCGCTGCCGGAAACTGTTGAGGTGCGATTTCACCGCCCTCACGGCGTCGGATACGGCGGCGAACGGGTCGGATCCCACGTGGATGTAAACGGAGTGCGTGAACTCCGACCCGACCGTGTCCGGATCTCCGCTTTCCAGGCACAATTCCACCTCGTCCCGGGAATTCCCCTGCAGGGAAGCCCGGAATTTCCCTTCGATCAACGGGAGGAAAACGCAGTAGGATTCTTCGTCTTCCTCGCCGGAGCCGTCCTTCAATTCGGCGAGGAGAAATTGGGTCTCCGCCGGAAGGTCACGGCCGCGGGACCCCATCATCTGCGACATCCACCACATCTTGAACCTGAACGAGGCAAAGAACTTCAAGCCCAGAAGCTTCCCGAGCGGGACAACATGGCGGGAGCTCTCGGCTTCGAAAAACGCTCCGAGGAACAGACCCTCGGTGGAACCGGCGGCGACGGTGACATTCTTGGGGATGTCTGAGAGTAAAACGCGGTCGTTGGCGAACAGATTCCGGTCAGCAATTCGGACTGCCGGGGTGATGGTCATGGCTGGGCTGAAGTAAGCTAACAGAAATGTATGGGAAAGAGTTAAGTGAGGGAGCAAAGCGAAGAGATGGTGGATTCGAGGAAGTAAAGTGAGGCAATTTATAGGGAGGGGATTAAACACTGAAACCCCTTAAACATTTAAACTATAGAAACAAAGATGATGCTGCCTCGTCAGATCCTCCACAACTTTCACAGACAGCCGCTTCAACTTGGACCGTCTATTCTATTTGTTTTAATTTTAAGCAAAAATTATACAGAATAATCCCAATTTTATCCGGTCTTTCAAAAATAATCTCATTTTTTTAATACAAAATAATCCAACTTTAATGAATCTTGCAAATTTTGGGTCGCCGTTAAGTTACTAACAGAAACGGTCTGTTTTGCGCAATAAAATAAAAGTTGAAATTATTTTTTTACTCCCTCCATCCCAAATTATTTGTCACATTTGCTTTTTCAACAGTCGCGGAAACTTTTGCTTATTTATACGTTTTTATTGGTTATTTGATAAAATAAAATATTTTTGACACCTTTTATTTCGAAGAACTTTTCATGTAGTTTTTTTATATGTAATTTTTATTTTTTATTTATTTACCAATATGTAAATAAAATAAATTGAAAAAACTTGATATTTTGCCTCGGTAATAGAAATGTGACAAATAATTTGGGACAGAGAAGTATAAATTTTCATTTTTTAAATTTTTTGGAATTTAAATTTAGATTTTTTAAACGACTTTCTGCATCCATCATTTCTATTCTGTTAAAGATTAGTTTACTTTTGGATAAAAATAAAAATTAGATATAAAAATAAGTAAATGAGAAAAATAACTAAAATCGTACAAAATTAAAGAAAAATATAGTAATCAATAAAAATGAACCTGAAACTGGTAAGAAATAAAAAAAATATATGGAGTGGTGAGTTTTAACATTTTATTACACACCATACACAGCATTAATGTATGACTTTCTTATTTTTAGGATAAATTATCTAGGATAGTTCTAACTTTACCCATTCTTTCACAAAATAAAGAGTGCCACATTAATACTCTGCATAGTGCGTAAAATGTTAGATCACTTAAGTCTTTATATTTTTATATTGTTTCTCTTCAATTTCAGTTTAATTTTTATTGATTACCTTATTTATTTCATTAATTTTGTATGATTCTAGTTATTTTCTCATTTTTGATGTTTTTATATCTATTTTTATTTTTTATAAGATAAGACTAATCTTTAAAAAAGGAAAAAGAAATTGAAGTAAAAAGTCATTTTAAAAATATAAATAAAAATTTCAAAAAAAATAAAAAATAGAAATGAATATTCATAAAAAATAATCCCACGTTAGCAACTAAACCGCAACCCAAAACTCTCTAATTTCAGTAAAGTTTAGATTATTATGCATCAGTGAATGATGAGATTATTTTTGAAAAACAGAGTATAGTTGGAATTATTTTGAATATTTTTTCCTAATTTAAATTATAATTTTTGCATTAAGAAAAATTTATTTTATTTTAAAAATAGTATTATAATAATAATATACTTTTATATTACAAAAATTATATCTGAAATTCTACAATAACAAGTAACACAATTATTTTATTTTATCAAAAATTATCCTAAAGTGAGAGAAAGAAAAATTGTAGTACTCCTTAAGGCTATGTTTGGTTGGACGTAGGTTAAGTTTTACTACATCCGTCCCAGAGTATTTGTCCACTTTCATTTTTATACACCATCCAATACATTTTTTAATCCATTTTATCTTGTACTCCCTCCGTCCTGGAGTATTCGTCCAATTTTGATTTTTGGAACTGTCCATCTAAACACTTTGACTCATCAAATTCTCTCAATGTGTAAGCCTAAATATAGTCATGTGTGATCTTGTTTGATTTGTCTTAACATATAAATTATTAATATATACTTTCTATAATTTTTTAATATACAAATTACAAGATAAAATGGATTAAAGAAGTGTATTGGATGGTGTGTAAAAATGAAAGTGGAAAAATACTCTGTGACGGAGAGAGTAATTTGTATATTAAAAAATTATAGAAATTATATATTAATAATCTATATGTTAAGACAAATCAAACAAGATCACACATGACTATATTTAGGCTTACACATTGAGAGAATTTGATGAGTCAAAGTGTTTAGATGGACAGTTCCAAAAATCAAAATTGGACGAATACTCCAGGACGGAGGGAGTATTAGGTAGGTAATTGAAGGTAATTGAAGGTAGGTAATGAAGGGTAGGTAGAGTAAAGTAATGAATTGAAAAATTGTGTTTGGATATTTATTAGGTAATGTGAGGTAGCTAGAATAACAAATTTACTGAAATACCCTTATTATTTTTACTCAAAAAACAAAAAGTTCACAAAAAATAAAACAAGAAAAGGGGAAAACGGCAAAAAAACCCCAAAAAAACTGAAAAACAGAACATAAAAAAACAGCAAAAGAAAACAGCAAAAAAAAAATGGATATTTCAAGACCTGTTTCATAGTCCGCCGGTGGGTCTTCTTAAATTCCGGCGTCCTCCGGCGAGGGTACGGTCACACACTCCTTACAATTGTCTCCTGTCATCTCCACGAGCAATTTAGACTCACCAATTGCCCCAATTGGCGCTGGTTTGCGAAATCCCCAATCTTCTTCAGCGGGGAAGTGCAGCGGGTCTTCTTCAATTCCGTCCGACGAAGAAGCGCGGCTGGGGAAGTGCAGCGGGGAAACAGCGGCAATGGAAGAAAGAAGAAAACAAAACCAAAGTGGAGAAGGGCAGCGAGGGGGAAACGAAAAGTTTAACCTCCTTTTACCGCCGATTAGGCGGTATCGATCCCATTTTCCACTGTTCAGAGGTAACGTTTTAATCTTACCCTACCTCTCCTACCTCCAACCAAACACAGCGTAATGCATTTCGAGGAGGAGAGAGTATTAAAAATGAATTACGTACAAACAAATGTACACTGAGCCCATGTCTCCATCCATGTACCCAAAAAAAGAATAAGAAACGCACGCACCCCATCATGGTTAGAAAAAAAAATGTACTCCATATCCTCAAAGTCAGGCTATGTGTTGGGCATTACTACATTATGCACGAGGGCACCTTATTACATAATAGGAGTAGAATAATTGTACTTATCAAGAAATTAATGAAATATATGACAAAGAATACATAGCGAGGATTATAAATCCAACTCGGAACTGAATCAATAATTGAAACTGACTAAAATATTAAGATTACGATAACTAGTACTAACATAATTATTATTATTGTCTAACTTTTTTTAGAAAGAGAGGGAGCGGGATAAAGGACAGTGGTTGTTCGGCACGCTCGTTGAGATTGGTGGCGACTGTTAGGCACGCACATATTTTTTTTGAAGATAAAAAGAGATGGATAAGGAGCGACGATACATATATATTATATATACATACATACATACATACATACATACATATACATACATATATATATATATATATATATATATATATATATATATATATATATATATATATATATATATATATATATATATAAATATAATCGCCGCTTCTCCGCCGCCTGCCACCGCTGCTGATCGGTGGGTGACCGATGTTGCTATTTTATTTTTTATTAACTTTTTAATTTTTAAAATTAAAAAAAAATGAGTTTTGGTGTTCAAAGTGGTGAGCTTTGCTTTATTCCTAGGTGAGCTTTGCATTGTCCATTGGTGAGCTTTGTAGTGTAGTGTGGTGAGCTTTGCGTCATCTCACCGAAGCATGTCATCTCACCATAAACTGACATCTCACTGGAGTCAATCCCATATATATATATATATATATATATATATATATATATATAGGAGCCGGTTTAGGTAAGAATGCACTTTGGTGAAAGAAATAAAATGATTCTGAGACTTTGGATGGATGCCTTGTGATCCGCATAACATAAGGGAACATATGTATTTTCCTATCTGTTTCCATCTACACTCCTAAAAATCTGCCCGATCACCTCTCTCTCTCTCCATTTGGGTTTCTTATTACACAATCCCTAAATCAAGATTTACATTTCCTTTTAGATTTTAGATATGAAATCCTTGTTTTTAATTTTGCATTATACTTTAATTTCTATTTGCACGTCGTTCTCCACCACTTTTTCCTGAAATTTGTTCGAAGGAGATGACTGAGCAGGTGGTGCGGTAAAAATTTTGCATTATACTTTCTATTAGGGTCTGGTGTTTAATTAAGAGAAATTTATTTAAATAGCACTAAAACATAATGAATTTTCCTAAATAGCATCACATGTGTTTTTCTTCCCAATATAGCACTTTTAGTCATTATGCATTAGTCATTATTCAAGCAAATATTCGCCATCACTAGACAATATGGACATTATTAAGTGCTATTTAGAGAATAAAATAGTTTAAATGATATTTAGGGAAATGACTTAAGTTTAATTAAAGCAATGTTTTTTCTATTATGCTAGTATTGTATATGTATTGTATTGTTATTTTTTTGTTAGATCCACACTTTCAAAAATTTGATGCGAATAACTTGTGTTTGTGGAGAGGCCCCAAATATGCAGTTTGTATATGATGAGTGATAATGTTTGTAGACAATTTCGTGTTCATTTGGGGTAAACATTGATGTATTTAATTTGTTTTGTTGTTTTGACTTTTTGTTTGCATTTTTTTAATGATAAATTATGCATTATGAGAGTCATGGTAATGCATGTACATGAGAAAGAAATGCATTCTCATAATCACGGTAAAAAATAATGAATTCTCTTAGTGTGCATTCTCATAATCACGGTAAAGAATAATGAATTCTATTAGTGTGCATTCTCATAGTCAAAGTTAATGCATCTGAGCACAGTGGCGGATCCAGAAATGTTTTTCTCCGGGGCATACTTGGTTAGTACATATAGAATAATCACATATATAGTAAACAAAAATTGAAATTAAATAAAAGTAAAATATGAAATTGAAGAAAAAACAAACTTACATTTCAAAATTATTTCCTACAAGTTTTGATTTTTGAAGAGTCAATTATATCTTTGTTTCATTCAAAAAAAATTATATCTTTGTTCCTACTGCTAGAGGAACCTGAAACTGGTTTTGGTG